AATTGAATGTATTTCAGGTTTGCTGTCAGAAGGCAATATAGAAATGGGTTTGGGCTAAGGAAAAATCACCTTTAGACATCATCTGCTTTAGATTCTCCTCCCTCCCCTCTTATTTAAGTGAAACTATATATAAGCCTTGGTGGGATTAAACATAGGTTTTGTTTGTATTTTTAAGATATTGGAAGAAAGGAGTCTGGGGTTATGCTACATTATTCCTTGTTAATAATGGATGAAACAATCCAGTGTATCAAGACAACCATCCATGAGTGGTTGTGTTAAATTCTGAAGGCTATTATTCAATTTATAGAGATCCCAGATAACTGAAGGCCCTCACAGAGCACTTCTTTTTAAATTAACAGCATATTTTAAAGCATGCTAAGTCTGTGTACTTTGACTATTGATACTGAAGGGCTAAGAGAGCACTTAACTACTATTATGTATTCAAGAGAGAGGCTGTAGAGGCTCTCTTTAAATTCCCTAGTCAGAAGGGACAATAGAAGCCAACATACACTATTACTGCACAACAGGAGCCTTTTATTACGTGTTTCTGATCCATTTCTGCAAGACATCTTAAAATAATCCATCACAGAACAATATTTCAGACCAGAACAAAAATAGTGCTATTTCTGTCTGAAAATGCCAATCTTAAATTACACTTTTAGAACAGCAAACCATGAGTGGACATGGATCTTTCATACACTTGCAAATCTCCTGATTTGTTCATGAGAGATGCAGCTTTATGGTTTTATTCAGGCATTGAACACCAGAGCGTTCAGGAATAATAGCTGCTGTAAAAGGCACAAAGGAAAAGAGTGATCAGAATGATCAGAATTAACTCAGGGAGAACTAGCTATCACCCATCTGGAGTGGGAGAAAAAGAAAATGAAAAACAATCACTGAATTCAATAAAGAATGGTTTTTTTAGATTTAGATTACACTTCTAAAATAACAGTTTATAATAATGTAGGCAAAGTGGGACTCAAATAGCTCCGTTTTTTAATCACTTTTTTCTGTGGTTTTGTTTGGATTTCTTTGTTTGTAAATAGTATTAAAGAATGGATGAACTGGTACTTAGTTGTGAGAGGCAGTAAGAAGCTCCTTTTGATAATACAATAGAAAAAAATATGTGTAAAGATGTTTACCTGGAAAGTTGAGAGTACAAGGGATTAGAGTAATGGAATCATCACTAAATCTCCCTGTGTGTAGGAAGTTACTCAGTTCCTGTATTCCAAACACTCACTTTAGGTACCTGTGCAGTAAAACCCTGTGCAGCCCATATTGAGTTGTTTAATTCCTGTCTCTGGAAGCGTTCTGTGCTTGCCCTGGTGAGAAGGCAGCAGCTGGGTGCTGCAGAGCGCCCAGCACCCCTGTTCTGAGCTTTCCATGGAGCTCTGCACATTTAGGGTCCCTGGAGTGACAAGAACAATTTTTTTTCCCCGTGTCTCACTTTGTTGTGTCCCAGGGCAAACCCCCAATAGGCAATGTCTGTACTCTTCTTTTTTGTAATGAATGTAATGGAGAATAAATACCAGCACTGTAAATTGGAAACTTTTGGTTCATGAGCCGAGGGACTCGTGCCGTGTGTAGGGTGAGGGGATGCATTGTGGGCTCAGTTCTCTGTCATGGTTTATAAACTTTAAACCATTGCCAGGAGAGCTTTCTAGAACTTTCATCTGCTTCCTGTGACAGGAGAGCTTTCTAGAACTTTCATCTGCTTCCTGTGACAGGAGAGAGCCGGGCCTGTAATCGAGGCCTTGCACCATTTTTAATTTTACACCAACAACATCACTTGAGCTAATGGTGTATGTTTTTATCTACAGAAAATGTTATTTCAATTTATGCTTCCTCACACAATACCATGAGACATTCCAGCTAATTGTGTAAGTTCTTTTCAACTAATTGCAGGTCTTTGCTCCCAAAGCTGCCCCTAGTGCTGGCTACACAGTGGTTCCAGTTAAAAGCTGTTTTTAACAGAAAGGGTTTAAAAATCCTTTATAATTTAGTGGGTGAGTCCACATGTTGATCCTTGGTGTTACTTCTTGGCACTTGGAGAAATACAGTGATATTTTTTAGCTGTGTTTTACACAGTGGGGCAGTGGGTACTCTCTGCAGCACCACGAGTACGTTCATATTTCTTAGATTAGATTAGTTTATCTGCATCATGTAAATAACTGTACACAAAAAACTTATTTTTGAAATATGAAAAAATGAGGGGAAATGCATTTAGTCAGAGATCTTGAAACCACTGGGAACTGAATTTTAAATATTCTAAAAATATTAATGACTGCACATCACTTTTTTTCACAGTCCTGAATATTTTTAGAGTAATTATTTCTCAAAATAACTGTGGTGCTTCAGCAAAGGACCTCATCAAACAGTACGTTCTTAATCATGGGCTGGAGGAGAAAACAGTGGAGGAAGAGAAGGATGAGTGGGAATAGTCTTTGATCTTGGGAAGTCTGGTTTTGTCCGTGCTGCCAGGCAGCATTCTAGGCGTGAGGCTGGGTCTCTGCAATTCCCCCAGGCTGGTCCCCTCTCTGTCCCCTCTGCCTCTGCTCCCTCCAAACTTTATATTAAAATCCTCTTCATTAAAAAAAAACCCAAACAAATTTTTTGTTCCATCACACTAGAATTTAGTGTTCTGGAAGAAAAATAATACTTTTTTTTTTTCCCCACTAGGGAATTTATAAATTGTTTCTGTGTTCTGAGGTTTATCCAAAATCTTACTGTAAATAATTCAGTCTTCCCTTCATTGTATGAATTGCAATTTAAATATTTTTAATACAAAAATCAGATGCAGAAGAAAGACTCTTTTCTTACTAAAATAGATTTAAAATGTTCCGTATTTTTTCCCAACAAAATCTAATAATAATGTTTTAGTTATCAGTATTAATATTATGTACAAATTTAAAGGCAGATTGTCAAAATATAATTAGAAGGCTCTGTTCAAGAAATTAAATACACTCTAGTAGCAGAGATGAAAAAAGCATCTGTTTTGAAGTACTTTAATTAGAGATTAGACAAGTAGGGAAAATTAGATTTGTATGAGATGAAATCAGAAAAGATATAAAATTCTTAGCTACAAAAAGTAGGAAAATACCTATAGAGCATGGAGGAAGCCAAATGTTACCTAGGATTTGTGGTGAATAATATAAATAAACTGTAACCTTTGACTTCTAAAAATCTGTTTCTCTGTTTTCTACGCATACTTGAAGTCATTATAGTTATATTATTCTTAAGACCTAATGAAGATGACTGATTTTCCTAATGTGTTTCTCTCAGCTGGATGAGTGCCTCTGGGTGTTCAGCTCACTTTCATTTGCAGGCTTCTGCAGTAGCTCAGCTTTTGAAGCATCTGTGGTGTTAAATTCATCCATATTCCAGTGTACACATTCCTGGGGTCAAATGACTGTGTGGATAGGGCTTATTTATTTATTTTTTTTTTATATTAAAGCTGAAAATCCTGCTTGTAATTAGGCTCTCAGTAGCTGCGTGTTTATTTGCCAGCTTCCACACAAGGGCTGAAGGCTGAGATATCAATGCAGTCAATGATGTGTTGTTTTAAAGTAAGGGGGAGAATGAGCTTGTTTTATGCTTTGTCTTTTATATTAGTTGTGGATGGCTGGAAAAAAAGCAAGCATCTCTAAATCCTGCTAGTTAAGGGTGTGCTATTGTCTGGGAAGGTTAAGAATGTGGTAATTAATGAGATTTCCAGTAGTCACAGTCTTATATTGCATAAATTACAAGAATTAGTTTATTATTCTTCAGTATTTACAATATTTCTCCTTCAAGTGACAGCTGCAAGCAACAAAGAAAGAACTGGTTAATGACCGAAATTTTTTTAAAATATATTTTGAGAGCGCTCTGGCCCAGTGAATGGAAGTTGAAAATTGCTTCTGTAATACTGTGCAAATTGTGCCCACCATTTGTACTTAATCCTGTCCTCCCAAACACATTGGACTCAGCTCAGTGCAGTTCCATTGCATGTCAATGCAAAATGTCTAAAGTTTCACAAATTCCATAAAGATTTGATGGGTTTGAATTGTGTGATTCACAAATCCTGACAGCTTGAGGCATGTCAGTGTATGTGTGTACAAAATCCTGTGTGTGTATATACAGATATATGCACATATATCTGCAAAACCAGGTGTCTCATGTCCCACTCTTCCTGGTGGACTGCATTCCAGAAGTGAAGTTTCTTTCCTAGTTTGAAAGTACAGTTATTTCAACCTCTGATCAATGTTCAATGTGTATTCAGCTAAGACTGCTAAAGTACAATTTTAAAAAAACCTGACACGTTTTATTTAAGTTATTATAAAAGAAAACAAGAAAATAACCTCAAACTAGTGCAATTTGCTCAAAATGAGCATTGCAAAAGCGTTGGTTTAAATGGTTTTAGTTATTGCTTTTACTTTTATTCATTTGGGGAAAAAAAAAAGTTTTATCTGGTTTTGTTCTTAATCCTGAACCCAGCTTATTTACTATAAAGTAATATATTTGCACAAATATATCTGTGCATTGCTGAGTTCAGATATGTCAGCGCTCACTTGGCGGCAGCGGGAGCGATGTCCCCCAGCTCGGTGGGGCGTGATGTCAGTGCTGGGGATGCTGCACATGATTTTCCTGCTGTGTTGGCTCCAGGAGCCTGATTCCAGGCAGGGCCGGGGGCTGAGGAGGCAGCAGCAGGGTGGGGAGGGTGGCTGGGTGCTCCCATGGGCAGCACTTTTGGGAGAAGCAGGGTGAGAGGGAGAGAGAGCGCCAGGCCGGCGGTGCCGCGGGGTGACGGCAGCGCTGGTGGTTCTGGGGGCATGTCTGTGTTCTGCTTTTGCCAATGTCAATGTGTTCATTTGGGCTCTTTCTGCTTTGAAGTCAAAGGACAAAAAGCGCCCCCGGTTCAGCGCACCGCGCCGGTTGTGACTTGATTTCTGTTTTGAGATGAAAACTGAGGTTTAGTTGAAGTGTTCCAAAACCAGATACCACTCTCTCTCTCTTTCTTGTAGGCAGGGTGCTGCTGTGCCAGGCAAACCAGGAGGGATCTCCCGTGTACAGTGCCCCCAGTTCACTAGTATACACATCCACAAGTAAGCTAGTGTTATGGCTCGTTTCTTGTTCTGTTTTTGTGACAAAAGCACATTAATGTGAATTAAGCCCCCTAAAAATGTCAACTTTCCCGACAGCTCTTGTTAAGGTAAATGTGGTGTTTATAAACATATGTAAGTAATGCCAACAGATAATTCAGTGTTTTCATTTGCATCTTTGTTCTCAAAGTATATTTTGTTAAAAAAAAAAAAAAAAGAAAAAAGAATTCTATATTGCAATGCTGTACAGAAATGGTCAAAAGCTCTACAGTAACAGTGACAGCTTTTGGAATCCAGTACTGTTGTGTGCTCTGCATTTCGTGTAGAAGATGCTGTTTTTCTTCTTCTGTCCTGCTCACAACTGTGATTTAATACACAAAATATCTGTTACCATGCCACCATTTGATTGGGTCAGGAAGCAATTAGATATGAAATATTTTTTTACAAAAGGGACAGCCTGTATGAAAGGGGGGTATTTTTAGCCATAAAAACTGCCCTAATAAAAGGAGCAGAGAGACGAGCTGACATGATGGATGCTGCCATCAGCCATTTTTCTGTACAATACTTTGGAGTGGAGATGTGTCCTCTGAAATTCTGAGCAGAAACCTCTTCTGAGAGTGTTTAACATTGGATTGGTTTTACCACTGGTGCTCATTCTGGCATCTAGTGATGAGAAACCTGGAGCTGAATGCAGGAGCAGGAACTGCTGCTCACAGCAGCCCTGGCTCTGTGTTCATTGTAGTCCTCTAAAGAAAATACATGGTCTGATTTAACAGCATTATCAGATATGCTCTTTATGAAGATTTCATTCAATCCAGCTCCTGGAGCTTATCTTAACTACTAAAATAATTATTTTTTAAATTAAAACTAGGAATTAAGGCAAAAAAAATCCATAGTGATCATCTCTACAGTCATGTAATTCTCTTATGTCAAACAATATCAATGGCATCGCTAGAGCTGCTGCTTTTCTGGGATTCATATGGGATCCCCTTTAAATGAGGATTCTGGAGTCTACAAATGCATAGTGAACTAACCAAATGCATAAAGTGTTTTAAATTGCAAATTAAATTGTCACTTAAGTCTGCGTTTGCTTCCAGGTGCTCCAAGAATATTTTCTAATATGTCACCTTTCCCTAGCAGTGGGTTTTTTTACTCCTTGTAGTAACAAAGAGATATGAAGTACTTACAGTTTAAATTAATGCTCCCTTTTGGATGTTTTTAGTGCACTCCTCCTTTTTGACTGACAATTGTTTTCCTAGAAAATGATCCAAACATTTCACTTATCTCACTATTAGGGAGCTTATTTTAAAGAAGAGGGGACAGTGTTTGTTATAATTTTCTGATAATTGTTCTTCTTTGAAAGCTTTTAATAAGTTTACCCTGTTGCTTCCATTGTCTCACTGAGTTGTACCCCAAGAATTTTATTGCTGGGATTGCTGTTTCCATCAGATGATATTTCCACTAATATTGATTCCCTGAAGAGACACTGTGAGCAAGCTGAGCTCTGGAGTTCACTGTTTCCATTATGTCTCCTGAGCCAGTCCTGTTGAAAAACCTTATTTTGCAGTGGTGCTCCTTGAATAATGATATCCTAACAAACACCTGTTTGTTTTCAATTATGCCAAATACATAAATAAACAAGCTTTGCCTATCTGCCTCCCACTGGGCAATGTGTAATACACAGTTTCATAACAGGCATTGCTGGTAGCCCTTGCAGCAGAAATTATTACACGTTTTTTGAATCTGTGTGTTGGCAAGTCATGATTTTTCCACTATTATGTATAGAATTTCCTTGCCAAAATGCAGTTTCCCCTACAGGGTCACAACTCCTAATAGCACAAAATTACTACAATTACTAAATATTGTAATTAGGTTTTTTATGTCTCTCTATTACAAAACTTTCAATAAAGATGTAAAATAGCTTCATTTCTGTAGGAAATTCCACTAGAAGTGAATTGAAATGAAGGTTGACTTTCGTCTCATTTCTTTTATTAGTTTAAAGATCTTCTATATTCCATTTTTGTGCATATTTGTAATATTGAAATTATAACTGATAAGTCGACATTAGTGTCTAGGAGATGAATACTTGTACTATTATCATTCCATGTAGACAACAATATTGCAGCCTTCCTTTTTGAATAATTTGTTAATTGTTTATTCTGTTACTGCTGATATTGTAACTGTGTGATATTTTACAACTGCTTACAATGTAAGAATTAAAAGGTTTTCAATTTGTAATGATTTTATAACAGAAGGGAAAGAGTCTGCTGAGATTTTTCTAAAGCCATCTGAGATAATTGAAGTTCACGGTGTGCTAATGGCATTTAGGAGTTTACAGGTATTTGGAAGAGGATAGTCCCCATTTTTCAAAGTGTTGTCTAACTTGACTGTTCATCTTTTGCTCCTGGGTTATAAGGCATGAAGGACTGGAACATGCTTTTAAGATGTATTTTTCTTAATTTGGCAAGCTTGGTTTCTCACTGAACTTGCCGGTTTGTAATTGTACTGGTCACTGGTAGCCTCTGATGACTCTGAGCACTCTTACCCACTGGCTCTGCAGAAAGCAGACTGTAGTTCTTGGAGCTGCTCTTTCTCTTCTGATATTTCATTTCTCCAGGATATATTTTATCTATAACACTATACATTTCCCAGCACAATGATTAGTTACACCTCTGAATACGTCAAGAGATGGAAACATGGCTCTTCTTCCTTCCATCACTTCTGGCCCTTCGCATAATACAGAAAGAAATGAGCTGTTTCTTCTGCAAGCAGTGGAACAAATCAGCAGCAATAGTCTCTCATGCCTCATCTGTTGTCTTATGCTGAAGGAGAAGATGGGACCTGGATCAGTTTTTCATTTGCACATCTATTGTTGGAATAGATATTTTTTTTTTATGTAGAAAGCAGAGTTTCAGCATGCCGTTGTGTTCCAATCCCTGGGTGGACAGGTCCTGTGACAACCATGGCCATGAAATCCAGGCAGGAAACCTTGGCTGCTGCAGATTCCCACAGGATTGGCATCTCCAGGGCAGAACTGATGCAACAGATTTCATTAAATCCTTCATCATTGCCATAATGCAGACAAGTATTGAAAGGAGTTATATCCAGCCAGGAATGACTGGAGTTCACCAAATCCCAGTGAGTCAGCACTCACTGGAACCTTCCTAGAGCCCAGGATATCTCACTGAAAGTAAATGAAACAGCTTGGCTGCACATAACTGATGGTCTTTTTTTACCCTCACTTCCTTAGAATAGTTGCTTCCACAGAGAATTTTAAAGTCCTGAAGAAACTTGTATCTACTGGTAAATAAGAAATGTGTCAAGAGTAGTTCTGGAACTTTTCCAAACTGATGCCACATATGAGTAGGATCCATGAGAATATGAAGACACTGATGGACAAAAGGAAGATTCAAAAGAAGAAAAAAATTTCCGTGCCTGAATGTGTGTATCAGTTTTCTGCCAAGGACAGTAACACAGCTGGGTATGTATGGTTCAAAAAGGCAAAAATACAAATCTGAATTTATGCAAGAACTTTTAAAAACTGTGTTGTGCCTATTTCCCCCCATTTTTCTATAATAGAAGTGTCTGAAAATGTGAATGAAGTAGAAGCTTATCAGAGCCAAAGCATGGGGAAGAAGGAAGATAAGAAGTTACAGAATTGTAAAATAATTCAGGCTGGAAGGACCAGGTTGCAGCAGAGCACCTCTAAGGATGGAGATTGCACGATTTTATGGGGTCATCCATTCCAATGTCCCGGCAGTGGAAACCTCTCTTGTTGCAAGTCATGTTTGTTGTTCCTTGTCTTCCCAGCACATGCCTGGCTCTGTCCCCCTGATAACGTCCCTGTCCCTCGCAGGGTGTGGAAGAGGAGATGTGTTTCCAGTAGAAATCCTTGTGCTCTGGACTGGCTCCCAGCAGCCCTGGGCCCAGCCAGCCCTCGCTGGGGTGGTGGGGCAGCAGCCTCAAACTGTGCACCCCATCCCTCAGCCATGTCCAGCTGTGCCAGCCAGGCCCCGTGGAGGGCAACAGGAGAGAGATGGAATTTAATAAATGTTTTTACTCTCTAAATCAGCGCTTTGATCTCTGAAACTTCTAGGTTTTATTTTAGCTCCAAGTAAGCATTAAGATATTCAAGTTATTGTATGTGTAGCTACTAGTGGATTTTTCTGAGCACAATGGGATAGCTCACTGTTAACTACATGGGTAGCTCACATATATGGTAAAATATCTGAAGTTTCTCCAGGCCTTTGTTCAGAATGATGTGCAGATGAATACTTCTATTTCCCAAATGTTTAGTATGCCCATAAAAGAGAATTTTGCCTTGACTCCAGTGAGTACAATTTAAACTGAAGTCAATTTTGGCTTGGATTTCCTAAATGTTAGAGTTGTTTCATCTTCAGTGAGCCTGCTTATCAGCTCCTAAATAAATCTTTCATACTGCAATCAAGTGATAGAATTAAAAGAAGAAAAATATGAAAATGCAAAATCCGATATTAATTTGTTTTATTTTATCATACTCAAGGGCAAATGAAGTTGATGGCCCATTTTTTAATTGATATATTGATTACAGTTTTGGAAGAAGCGGTGGTGGAATTCAGCAAAAATGATTGAGGTGGTACAAATGCTTATAAATCTGTCCCACATTGTTCGTGTTCTTTAATTGTAATTGTCTGATAAAACTTCCATCGGTTTCTGTAATTAACCTAATGGTCTAAATGAATTTCCAGATCACTGGTTATTCATTTCAATATAGAAAATGCCATTACACTGAGTTTAATTAATACTAAGTAAGTTCACAGTCCATTGTACCGTTAGAATAGAATTGTATTGTTTTAACTGTTTAAATTATGAATATTATTTCCTCTCATCTTGTTTGTCCCATTTATGGACTTGAGTGTTCATTTTCTATTCATACTACAATAACATAAACCCCTTATAATTAAAATATTTAAAACCCAATGCTCTTCAAGCTCAAAATATCCTCAAAATATCAGTGCGGATTT